AAAGCGATACATATATATATATATATATATACATACACACATAAATATACCTTTTTTCTCGTTTTGACAGGATTTTGACAAAATCACACATAAAAGTTAAAATTAAAAATTTTGTTTAATTCAAAAGATTAGGTTACCATTACTTCTTTGATATTTAACAGTGTATAAAGGCAGTGTAAGTTAGAGTGAGATAGTATATATACAAGAAGAAAGTATACATATGTACCTTTCTCTAAGACTGGGTAATAACACCCGTTACCATTTCGTTATTTTTTTCGGTAACGATCATTACTTTTTTCTGTCTGTAATAGTAACGGTAATGTTATATTTATCGTTATATTTAACGGTAACAAATTCAACCGTATTACTTTTATCGTTAGTTTCATCTGTTATTATCTTTATAATTATGCATTAAATCACATTAGTGTTAATTGGCCAGAAATATTTCATAATAGAGATTTAAATATCGAAAAATGTTTGTACTTCATTTCTTAGATTGCATTTCGGTAGTCACACTGTTAATACTAAAAATCTATAATATATACGTAATGTGAACCATAAATTTTCAGTATTGACAGTGAATATTGGAATGCACTCTTAATAACAACATTAATGTTTAAAAATAATGTTTAATAAAAATTTTAATAAAAATCTACGTTTGTAAACTACAATCTAATTTCCTAAAGATAAGCATAAATAAAAAATAAAAATATTAATATACAAAATTATTAAAGATTTACTAAATATAAATTTAGTATAAAGAAAAGCTTGTTTTATAGAGACTATTTTTTTATAATTAATATTGATTATTAAATAATATAATTTTTAAATCTAATATCTTACTTTAACATTACAAAAAAGTATCGCTTGATTACTTTCTAAATAACGATAATGATAACGTGTTATTCTTATGAAAAAATGTTTCCAACCCTGCCTTTCTGTCTTTAACAATATTTTTTGATAAAATCGTTCGTGATTAAACTCTGTTACAGTGTCTTTAATTTTGTCCAAGGGTGAAAACGCGTGACCGAGATGGTCGTTTTACAATCTATCACGCTACAGAGTATTTCGTAAAAATGTACGACAGGAACATATACTGACACGTAATACGATGTCACAATCGATCATCCTAATACGGTTGTCAGTAAAATGCGTTGTGTTCCGTTCTGTTATATTTTCACGTGTGTTGCGCGAGCAAAGGGAAACGAAACTTTACCGACGCGTTCGATCGACGCTACAAAAATAAAAAAAGATATATATATGTAATATATAAATGAAAAAATAGGGAAAGGAAGGGGATAAAAATTCAACAAAAGGCGCCGCGCACATACATCTACACGTCGCGTACAACCATAAAACGA